CGGCACGCGTACGAGCTACAGACACCTCACGTGCCCTCTGTGTGGTGTATCTAGACGGTACCTTACTATGAGCACACGCGTCATGAAATATGATTGGCTGGACGCTCGTCAGCGTGGCGCCGCTGTCACTTCTTATAGCTACAGAGGTTGCGCAGATAATAGACTTGGTCGATTCAACCCCACTGACAACGCCGCAGATACCTCGTTTGACCGAGTTTGATGCGGGCACCAAGCTAGAATGAGTGGCGACCGTTTGCGCATGATTAGATCCAGCGACCAAGCTCCAGCGTACTTGAAGGGTCTTATTGCGTTCGGAGCTTGGTCGCTGGACACTGTGGAGTTCCGCACCCGCGCAAAAAGCGTGATCCCGACAGTTGATGCGACAAGCCAGAATATCACAACCTCTCATTTCTTATTTTTATAGACGTTTGCCGTTGACTATTAGTGAGTGAAGGAGAGAAGATGCACTTGCAACGCAGCCCGATCTTCCTCATCTTCTCCAGCTTGCTTCGAGTACAACAAGGGTGGTTGTACTGGCATCATGTCATACGGATCGTACTCCGGCTTCGTCGACGTGAAGAACGTCCCTCCATTGAGTTGACCTTCATATAATGTGCAAATTGCGTCTAGACGGACGGAATTTGCGTGGGGCTGCTACAGTTGGGGTGGGATGGAAAGCTGGCTAAACCCTTTCTCGCATTTGGTGTCTAAATATATAGCATTGGGTGCGTCGTATTTGTCGCGCCACAGTATCGCACCTGCTGAACACACTTCCCACAACAAGGCCAGCGGCCGCGATAAAACTATGTCCTAATCGTTTAGATTCCACCAAGGCAGCGGTGCCGGCACCTTTGCCAAACGTCATCACTCTAGTTTTTGCGCTCTTCACCTCATCCGCACCATGAAGCTAGTGCTGTCCTTGCTCCTGGGCGTCGCGACTGCCGCCCCACTCCAGCTCTGCACGGTCAATCGTTTGGTCGTCTCCGAGTCCAAGGGTGCGCTTTACACGGACGTGATGCGCAACAACGACAGCGAACGCTTCGACTACGACCCGACGACCAAGCTGCTCAAGGTCAAGTCGACCGGCCAGTGCGTCAAGGCGTATATGCCTGTCATGGTCAAGTGCGACCCGACCGACGTTCTCCAGCAGTGGGAGCTGCGAAACAACCGCGTCTATTCGCCGTGGGGGGTCCAGTGCCTCCAGGCCGATCCGGCGACGCCCGGTGCGCGTGTAGGCATTGCTCGCTGCGACTGGACGACGTCGCTGGCCTCGGGCGAGTTTCTCACCGACTGCACCTCGGTTGCATCAGAGTACGTGACCATCTTGACGGTGAACAACCGGCGTCTTGCATCAGTGAAGCCGGACCCCGAGCGTTGGCCCAAGGCTTTGTCGACCCTGTCGGTTTTCGACTACAGCAGACGAATTACGACCTTTTTCAACGAGCTTTTTGTCTGGGACAAGACCAACAAGATGTTCAAGAACGCCCAAGATGGTCAGTGCTTGGGTGCATCCAAGGACGCCGATGGCACAGTCCAGCCCGGTATGTTTCCGTGCGACGTCCAAAGCTCCAACCAAAAGTGGAACTACGACACCAAGCTCTCCCAGCTCGTCCACGCCACGTACACTGACCAGTGCTTGATCATCTACGCAGATGATTCTCTGCATATGACAACGTGCGTCAAGCGCTGGTACCTCAGTCAGTATTGGGAACCACGTCCCTTCAAGGGGTATGTTTAAGGTCGCCCGTTTGCTGACGTCCAGCATCGATAATTGTTGACGCATATTGTGACTTTTGTTTGGGTGTGATTGTTGTTGTTGGGTCTGTAATCTTGATCCATGACTTTTAGCCCCGGCATTTACCAGCACTGGGAGTTCATGCAGAACCGCGTTTTCTCCAAGGTCTTCAAGGAGTGCCTCCCGACCAAGCTGACGACGCCCGGAGCGGCACGTTGGCCTAGCTAAGTGCGACTGGTCGTCGTCGCTCACGTCGGGCAAATTCCTCGCCGGCTACAACTCAGTTGCGTCAGAGTACGTGACGATTACGTCGGTTAGGAGCCGTCGCCTCGGCGAGTTCAACACTGGCCTGCTCGCCAACGCGCCAGCCAACAACGTCAACGAGCTCTTCGTCTGGGATCCCCCAAACGGTAGGCTCAAGAGCGCGAGCAGAAACGAGTGCGTGGACGCGGTACATCGTCGGCAAAGGCAAGTCAAGGTTCACACGTGGACGTGTGGTGTCACCAACGGCAACGAAAAGTGAAACTACGACCAAACCACCAAGACGCTCAAGCACGCGACCCATGCTGGTCAGTGTCTGGATGTCGACCCGACGTACTGTGACCGCCATGTCCATATGTGAGCCTGCTGACCGACGACCTGTCGCAAGCAGCCTGTTGCAGGTGATGCCTCATACAGCAGTTGAGCACTGGATATTCATATCTACACAGCTCTCAAACCACTAGGTCGGGACTAGGCGGTGTGTTAGAGAGCTGTGTAGATCCGTCACACATCCCTGCCGTCGAGTAATCAAGGCCTCTAAGGTGACCAACGACGTCAGTGCCATGCAAGCCCAGCGTCTCCAATACCAGCGTCTTGTTCCGGTCTCTGACTTTGCAGAGGGACCATGGAGCGACTGCAACTCCAGTGACACAATGACATGCACGCGGTAGCCGTCATCCCGCAACCCTATGCGCGACCACGGTCGAGATGACGGTGCTGATATCGGCGGCGCTGGCAAGAAGGTAGCATCCCGCGGAGCGTGCAAAGCTGTGTTTTTAGACCAAGTCCAAGTGAGTAGTACGCATTTTGAGCTGCGGCTCGAAAGCAATTTCATTTTTACGCAACCGCCACGTCCATGGTGGCAAGGTCACAAACGCCAACCATGCTCTTTTACGAGTTGCAAGCTCCAAGTTTCGTTGCTTTATTTTGTGCTCCTTTTTGAGAGGCGCCGGTCTCAAAACACGAGCCTCGTTCGTCTCCGTTGCTCTTGCGTTGTAGTAACCCCTCGGTGTCTGTCAACCTCCATAAATGTGTCGACCTCAACTAGACGCACTAGGAAGCACACTATACTGCAAAGAGGCAGACTTCATTGATTTATTTACTCTAAATGCTAGCAAGCAGAAAGAAGAATCAGTCACGTAATGTCGTGGTGGTCGACGCGCCCGCAAAAGTTACGGCTTGTACGGCGCAATTGTAAACTGCTGGTGCAGGTTGTTGGGCGTGCATTCCCACATCTGCACGTGGTGGTCCTTGTACGACGGGTCGACATCCAGGCACTGGCCGGCGTGGGTCGCGTGCTTGAGCGTCTTGGTGGTCTGGTCGTAGTTCCACTTTTGGTTGCTGTTGTTGACGTCGCACGCGTATGTGTGGAGCTTGAACTTGCCTTTGTCGACGCTGTACGCGTCCAAGCACTGGTTTTTGCTCGCGCTCTTGAGCATACCGTTCGGGTGATCCCAGACGAAGAGCTCGTTGAGGTTCTTGACCTCCTTGTCGGCGTACAGGCTACCGTCGAACTCGCTCAAGAGCAGTTTGCCGACCGTCGGCGTGATCGTCAAGTACGTTGACTCGACCGAGTCGCAGTCGGCGAGGAACTGGTTCGACTTTAGCGAAGTCGACAAGTCGCACTTGGCGAGGGTGACGGCCGTATCGGGCTCCGTCGAGGCCTTGAGGCAGCGATCCACAGCTGCCGACTTGACGCGGTTGCTCCCGAGCTCCCAGCGCTGGTAACTGTCCGTGGCTTCGCACGGCGCGGTCACAAGCTCCATTTCCTGCTTCTTGATCTTGAGGCACCGGTTGGTGTCCTTGGACTTGAGCAGCTTGGTGGCCGGATCATAGTCGAACATCGGGTTGTCGCTGACGCACCGCTTGCCGGTGTAGAGCACCTTGTTGTCTTCGGAGAGGACGTTGCGGTTGATGGTGCAGAGCTTGATGGGGGCGGCGGCGACGGCGGCCACGAGAGCAAAGAGGACACACTTCATCGTCCGGCTGCAAAAGAAAAAATGCAAGTTGTTGTCGTTCTCCACGGCCCTTCGTCCCGCACGCACGCAACAAAAGTCTTGCATTGGGTCGCACGTGGCGACCTTCTGCTTGGCGCCAAAACGCTACATCCTTGCTAGTGGTTGTATAGGTGGGATGCATACACTCATACAGTAGCTAAGTCTTTTGCTGGACACTGTTGTGATGGGCACTCGTGGAAATTGTGTCGGGCCTTTGCAAGGGTTGTCGAGTTACATACACTAGACCTCCTACGCGATAGAAGTATCACTGGCGGGACTACGCGACTTGCTTGCGTTAAGTGCCAATGCAATTGGCAGATTGAATCTTGTGAGAGACATTCTCCATGTGGCAACGTTGGGGGAATGTCGCCTCGCTAAGACCCTTCTTCCAGACGACACTGCATGCTGAGAGACCTCGCCAGCCACATACCAGAGCCACCAAGCACAAACATCTAGGATTTTGTCGTCGAATATCTACGATTCGTATCTAGTAACGTTTTTCAAACAGCTGTTTTGTCGTCGCCATCGGATTGGTCCAAGCACTTTGCACTTGTGCGATCGCGGTCCTTCTTGAACCCGCCGCTGCGCAAGTACCTGGCAACTGCAGCACACAGCTCACAGACGCGATCTGTACATGCACCCGCTGCTTCAAGGCCGCGAGATGCTGCTCAAAGAAGGAGCTGCACCATTTCTTGCGTACCAAAATGCAGGCAAAATCGATTTTTGAATTCGCTCGGACGCAAAATGGCACTTTCTACTTGGTTTTTGCATTGGTACAAATTTGAAGTGTTCACAACCCTATTCGCTGCTACGGGGGGCACTGCATGGCCCAATCAATGTCTAGAATTCAAAGCAATAGCACTCACTCCCAACGATCAAGTGCTGGTGCCGACTCCCACATATTCAGACGTAGCGCTACGTATGCGAAGTCTTTGCGTAACAACGAAGATAACGTTAATGCGGAACACGTTCATTTATATATATATGTCATTATATTCTATATTCACACGACTATCGCCGATTAGTGTCGCTGGATCCAAATGGGTGGTATCAAAAGCTACGGGTGGTAGGTGTACAGCATCCATTGTTGGCGCTCGTTGAAGGGCGAGGAGGACGAGCACGGAGCCATCTGCACGCGGTCGTTGTCGAGGTCCAAGCACGTGTTCTGGTACTTGTCGTGCTCGAGCTTGTAGGTCAAGGGGTTGTAGGTCCACTTTTGATATGCGTTCCGGACGTCGCAGGCGAACGTCCCGAGCACAACACGGGGATACATCTCGTGCACTTCCAAGCACTGGCCGTTGGTACTCTTGAACATTTTGTTGGCTTGGTCCCAGACAAAGAGCTCGTTCCAGTTGTTGATAACCGTGTTGACAACGAGGCTCGAGTTGCTCCCCGCCAGGCGCTTGGTACCGGTACGCGATGTAAGCGTATTGTAGACAGGCGCGATCGAGTTGCAGTCGGCGAGGAATTGGCCCTTGGCGAGCGACCCCGGAACGTCGCAGTCGGCGAGATTGACAGGCGCATAAGGCATCGTCTGCAGGGTCTCGAGACACTTGGCCTTCGCCGGTGAATACACGTGGTTGTCTCGCAGCTCCCACTTCTGGTACTCGTCGGCCGGGTTGCATTTTTCTGTGAGCGCTTGCGGAGCTGAGCCCGACGCGACCTTGACACACTGGCCGCTCGACACGACTGTGAGCAACTTGGACGTCGGGTCGTAAATGAGACGCTGGTTGTAGCCGGCGCGGATCACGTCCGTGTAGAGTGCACCTTTAGCCTCGGAGATAACCAAGCGGTTGGTCGTGCAAAGTACCAGTCCGAACGGGTCGGCGGTAGCGGCAGTCGCCGCGGCCAAGAGACAGCCAAGCAAAAGCTTCATGGAGATGTTGACCGAGGAGGAGGTGGCAAAAACCAAAGTGAGAGTGAACGAACCACGATGCCACCATGTGCCGCTGCCGCACTCAGTTCTTATAGCGTGTAGCTCCAAAACTTCAGGTATGGTGCGCAGTGATCGACTTGGCCGATGCCAAATGCGTCGCGGGCAGAGCTTGCGAGTGGTTGTCAAGCCAGAATAGTTGACTGGATGTATCCTGGGGCTAGTGCGTCGCAGAATTGAATGGTCGCTGGACACTGCGGAACTGAAGTAGCTACGTGCCACCGCAAACAAAAAGTGCATTGAGAATTCGGCAGCATGGTATCCGGATAGTGCAGCGTGAAACCTAACCCACGTTGGCGTTGAAGTGGGTCGTCCATTCGAAATAGATAAATCTAATGCGCTAACTAAATATGTCGGCCTTCTTTTCGCTGTGTAGACTCGGATGAGGACCGTGACGTAGACACGGGGAGAGGACTGTAAGCGGCAGAACAAAATGCCCACGCGGCCACTTGTGTTGGGCGAGGAGCTGAAGAAGACTTTTGAAAGCGGGCGTACTCGTGCCATGTGAAGAAGTATCAATAAAGTCAAGAAGGGAGCTTCTTGGTAGGTTGGCCTATCATGGCTCATCACTGCCCACCGTTTGTCACTCGGCGTGTGGGTTTTGCATGCGATGCCTCAAGGGAATAGCCCTGGGTGATGACGTTTTCCCCACACCCACTAGTCCAGCGAGAGCCGACTCGCAAACCCACAGCTAACCGGTTAGTGGAACCGGCTATCTAGCCGGATAATCTAACCGATTTCTTCAATCGGTTAGCCAGCCCTGCTCACACGGTTGCCCATCATTTCAGGGCTTGGTCGCACAACGTCGAGGCTACTGCAAGCCCACCGCTTGCGGACCCAGACTTGTGCGCCTAGATCGCTCAGCCACGTTCAGCCACCAGTCTCGGCTGCCTCCGTTTTTCTAATATACACCGAGCTTCGTCAGCTCACTTCCTCTTTTGGTTTCCCGACCACAAGTGCTTTTCTCGTGTGCTCTTCGATCGCAACGAATAAGAAGCGGCCGACCGCAACGTGAACAGCGTCGGTTCTATGGGACGCCGTGAAACAGTTGTGTTGGGTATCATGTGTGTTTGGCCCATTGGCAGCGTTGAACTATTTCACAAGGCCCCGACAATAAGAATGGCGTCGTAGAGACCGCACCGTGCGCGTCATACACTAGTATGCAAACAACTGTGCTAGTCGTGCGTTCAAGACAAAGGTGTTCCTTCGGTCATCACTCAAGCGCCGCCCACGAGCCAAGAAGTACGGAAAAACGCTACAAATTAACGCTACGAATTAGCCTCAGAGCTCTCGAGCACGCCACGCAACATGGAGCTCCGAGTACGCTACGGACAGTGCGGTAGAGCGGTCATGCCTTGGACAACTGTGACGTGGGTCAAAGCCACGACAAGACCGTCGCACTGGTTGACGCGGTGCCGCAGCTGCAAGTTTTCGAGGCAGCTGCGTGCACACTCCCAGCGCAGCTCGTCGGCCACGTCCTGCCATGAAAGGGCAGGGACTGCGCGGCGCAGCTCAATGACGCCCTCGAGCTCGAGGATCCGCTGCGTGAGCATCGCGCGCAGCTCGAGGTAGCGCTCCCGGTTGCGTCGTTGCAGCTTGCGCTTGATCGCCTTCTTGGACAGTTGACAGGGTGCGCTGGCTCCGGGCATACTGTGTCTGGTCAAATGAAGTGTGAGCGCCAAGTTCTCTTGGCTCGGTCCGAAGAGGGAGGAGCGAGAAGCAACGGAGAGGCTGGATCTGCAGATGATCACGGCGATATATATTTTCTCAGATCTTAGCGCACATGTATGGCGTGGGCCGTAGTCATTTCGCGTGAGGGAGGCTTCAACGTAGTGCATGACGCTTGATTATCAACGACGACCAGATCACTCCCATCGAACTACTCACTCGAGTCGCGTCGGACGGTCATCGCCCGCGGCCAGCCTCCGCCTCAACGCATTGCTTGTCACAGCAAATAAACAAAAAGAAACTGACCTTGGTCCTCGGCGCGTACTGTGTAGTCTCCCATTAGACGCCACGACCGCTTGGCACGGCATGTGGCCTGCGTGCGCCACGACGAGATTAGGATAAGCACCGTATGGTCCAAGCTGACGCATGCCACAGTAGCACGAGAAGCCATCGTGTCTCCTCACGGCCCATATACCTATCCACAGAGTCTTCCTCCCAATGCAAACGCTTACTCGCACAGCGCCTAGCAACGTGAGCTCTTGGTTGGTGTACATCATCCCAGCACTGCAGCGTCAAAGTGCGCTCCGCTTCATTCTTCTGCCTCGCGTCTCGAATATACGCCATCACCATCGATGCGCCGCAACAAGAGTGGTACAGACGTCGATCCCGCCCATGCTTCGCTTGATTTCAGAAGCTCATCGTCGTCGGCCGCGCGCCGCAGCTCGCAACTCAGGTGGCGCCAGTGCGGCAAAGCGCAACGAAGTTCAACTTCAACTTCGCTTTTTCCGGATACGACCGCGAAATGTTCGACTATCCGGACTCTGGATTTGGGGAACCGTTGCCGCATGGCCGAGCCCGTGGGCATGAGCAAGATGGGCAGCTACTGCTGCGTCTGCGCGGACGCTGGCGTGAGTCGCCCGCCAGCGCTCGAGGCCGCGCCGCCGACGCTCCTCCGCATCCTCGACGCGTCGCTCCTCGGCGACGAGGCCTCGACCATCCCGCGCGAGCTCGCCTTCTCGGGCGTCTTTCCCGTCGGGTTTCGCCCAGTGCACCTCTTCGCCGCCGTCTCATCGCCCGTCGAGCAGGTCGTGCGCGACGGCTACAATACGAGCGTGCTCTGCTACGGCCGCGCCGAGGCCAAGCGCGCGCTCACGCTCGGCGCCTGCGACATTTCGCCCGAGGCCATCCAATCGGTCGAGACCGCGCTCGCCGCGTACGGCCAGATCGGTGGCATCCTCTTCCAGCTCTTTGCCGAGGTACATTGGACCCAACGCTTCTACTGATGTCTCTATGTATCTAGGTGGACGCTACCGTGTACCGTATTGGCTTGAGCTGCTGGAGCATCGCCGCCGAGTCGGTCGTCGACCATTTGCAGGACCTCGTCGGCGCGGACGCGCCATTAGACGGTCCGATCCAGTTTACAACGATGCAGGTGCGCAGTGTGGCGCAGGCCCTCGCGTTACTACGCAGCTCGTTTGGCCCGCACGCCAAGCAGAACCTCGAAGACGACACGCACGTCTTTATTCGTCTCGCTGTCTACAACGAGGCCGGCCAAGAGCTTAGCCTCCTCCACTACGTCGACCTTGGGCGCCAGCTGGCGTCCAAGGAGCAGGCTGAGTTTCTCACTCTCTTTGACGACCTGGTGGACTTTGAGACCAGCGTCGACGCGCCACCGCAGCCGGTCCAGCCTCGGAGCTGCACGCTGACGCAGTTTGTGGCGCCGCTCTTGGCGGGCAACTCCAAGACGTTTCTCGTTGGCTTCATCCCGCGGCACGGACTGCGCGAGAGCCTCGACTGGCTCTGGGTCATGTCGGGCGTCCGCCTCATCACGTCCGCCTGTGTCAAGCTCACCGAAATTGGGCCCGAACTGGTCGAGTTCCAGCCATTTGTCGCACCGCATGCCGACCCAACACCGTACGTTTGGATAGTCGTTGGATAGTCTTTGGATAGAATGTATGGATACATGCTCATGCCCTGTAGACCGAAAGCGAGCTTGAACAAGCGGCTCTTTGGCGACCACAGCAGCGCTGACGGAACCATGGACTGGCTCGACAAGTTTACGCTCCGGAAGAGCCAGATCCTCGGGCAGCTCGAGTTAGAGCCGCGGACTGAGCCCGAGCGCAAGCCGTCTGCGATTGTACTTGACTCGAATATCTGCTATCTAAGAGCTCATCAAGCTTGCGTAGACACCGGTGGGCCTCGGTCGTTCATCGGTGGCCGAGCCGCCGACCGTCAAAAGCCCGTTACGAGACCCGATGGTGGTGACCCCGATCCCCGTCACACCGCTCTCGCCCATTCGAGAGGCGGCGCCAAGTACTGCTCACGACTCTCGTGCAAGACGAGTGAGTTTGTCGGTGGTGTTAGGTCGGTTTGAGGAGCTGCTGCGCGATGCGCACTTGCCGTCCGTCGCGCCGCCCGCACCGGATGTCGAGGGTCCACCCCGTATAAAACAAGACTTATTCAAGCGATGGCGTTAGGACTCGATGCGAAGAGCGCGCTGACCGTGCAGCGCACCGAGGCCCTCTTGCTCCGGTCCAACTACGACCAGCTACTCCGATTCGTCAAGGACCAGTACCACCACAACGAGCAGCTCCAGCTCAACGTTGACGACGCGCATTTTCAGCTCTCGGAAATGCAAACCACCTTTGACGTCCAAGTACGTTTTGATGTGGTTTGTATCAAGTTGATACTTTTGGATCGTAGACACAAGACCTCAAGCTTGCCAACGTCGAACTTCGGAGCAAAGTCCGCATGCTCGAGCAGTCGTCGGGCTTGCAATCGCTGTTTGACAAGGTACTTTGTTGTAGTCGCAGAGTCGGATATAGTCGATTCTTTAGTACGACGCCGAGATGACGGCGCTGCTCAAAGAAGTCGAAGAGCTCCGCGCCCGCAACCTCGAGCTCGAGCTCAAGGTGCGCATCGCCTTGCGTCGACTAACTAACTGGCACCTAGCTCGCGCACAACGCGAGCGTCGACTTGCGCAACCGGTACCGGGAAGTCGTCAAGGAGAACGTGGCGCTGCACGAAGAAGTGCTCAATTTGCGCAAGAAGGAGCGGTGCGCCATCTAGTCGGTTGAATTCGACTGGACTTTGGACTAGGCATTTTCTGTCGTCCAAACGCCTCATTGACGACTCGTCCAAGAAGATCGACAAGCTCTCCAAGTGCGATATTTCGATTTCAATATTGTCATCCTTCTGTAGACTGGTGCACACAAAGGAAGACATGTTGCTCGAAGCTCGCTTGGGCGAAGCGCGCCTCAGCGCCCAAGTCGATAAGCAGCAGCTCAAGAGCTCAGAACTCCAGCAGCAGCAGTCGATGCTGCTCCAGGAGAACGAAAAGACTGCCGAGGAGCTCGTGGCGGTCAAAATGTACCTTGCGAGCATCAAAAATGTCTTTTCTTCGTACGGCAATATCTCCATCGTACTAAACCAAGCGTAGGAGCAGCGCAAAGCCGACATGCTCGACTCGTTTGTTCAGAAACACGGCGCCAGCCTCCTCTCGACCGAGTCGACCCGACACGTCTCGGACGGAAGCCCCATCGTTCTCGACGAGACCTTGCGCAAGCTGCTGGCGACGATCAAGCGCGCATTGCCGCAGCTTGTCCCTTCGCTCAACAAACTCATTCAGCGCCTCCATGTAGATCCTGGATATTGGATAGCTGCATAGTTGGATACATTTGGATAGGAACAAGAGGTGGCCCTCCTAGAATACTCGAGCCGCGAGATGGACTTGATCAACCTGCTCGTGGAACTCGCGTCCGACCAGCAAGCGCCCACGTCACCAACCCCTCGGTCTTTGTCCATCAAGAAGAAAAAAGCGCCTTCCTTTATGTACAAGTAGTCTTCGTAGCCAGTGGTTTAAACACTGTTTCAATATCCAGTGGGTCCCTGTTTCAATGTTTCAATCCCTGCTACCGTTTAAACCTAATCGCTAGCGCTGCTTCTATGAGATCAGCATATTCTGTTGTTAGTTGGGAGAATCTAGTGCATGAGCATGGTCGGGCGCTGCTTCATGGACGACTGCGACCGCAATAGACGGCGCTCGACCGAGCTCGAGGGCGGCGCCGAGAGCGCTTCGCTGCGTGCGTGGGCATACGCGCCGATGAGCGCGACGAACGACCAGACGCTCCACGCAAGGCAGAAGCGAAAGCCATATCGGTACACGCACGCCTCGTCGCAGTGGTCAAAGTAGCTGCCCTCGACGCCTTGCTGCGAGAGGACGTAGTCCATGTAGACGCCCGTGAGCTCTGGCGCCAGCGCATACCTACACGCGTTCGTTGCTACAAGCCAAAGAAGACAATCTTGTACCCAAAGATGTTGAACACCATGACCGACACGGACGAGGCAAGCGACCGGAGCTGGACCGGCGACGCCGAGATGAAGATGCCCGTGCAGGCCGGCAAGATCGAGCCGCCAAAGAAGAGGAGCAGCCAGAGACACATGGCGGTGGTGTACACGTCCGGAAGGAACGTCGTGAGGATGCCGAGAAGGAAGGCGATGAGGCCGAGACCGACGCAGTAGCCGAGCGCTTTGGCCCGCGCGACGGCGCCAATGTAGCCGCCTACCAGGATATACATCGCACGTTCTATCCGGTGTGGGATAGTGGGTGGATAGTACCTGCGCGATCGATGAGGGCACCACCGAAGAAGACGCCGAGGATCGGGCCCGTGCCAGCGACCAGCACGTAGAGACCGTTGACGATGACGACGCTCGTGTGGAAGTTCTTCTGAAGGTAGATCGTGCACCAGAACTGGACGCCGGTAACGACAAAGTAGATGGCGGAGAGACCGAGCACGATGAGCGTAAAGATGGGCTTGGAGAGGAGGACGACGCAGCTCTGGAGGACGCTGAGGTCGTCCGGCACGTGCTCGTCCTCTTCTTCGTGGTCGTAGTAGTCGTCGCGGAGCGAGAGGTGCCGGGTGAGACTCGCACTCTCATTCTCCGTCGGCGCATCGTCCGGCTCCTCTTCAAGGACCGTGCCATATTGGGTCTTGATCGCGCTTTGGCTCTGCTGCTGCTGCAGCAGATCCCACTCCATTTGCTCAAAGTACAAGTCAATGTCGTACGAGTCCATGCGGAAGCGGGGCGTGATGTACGAAGCGCGGATCGACGCGCGCTGCGCCGAGTTGAGTTCGTCTTGGTGGCCGTTGTTGAAGCTCCAGCGCAGCGACGGCGCTTGCTCGAGGAGGACGTGCGGGTGGCTCACGGGCGGCGACTCGATGATCGGCGACGGCACCGGTACGAGCACCGACGTCGACGGAAGACTCGCCGACGCCGACGACGGCGCGCGCTTCGAGAGCGACCGGATGGTAGGTACCTTGGTCGTCTTCTTGTTGAAGACGTCGAGCGCCTTGATGGAGATGTGCTCGCTTGGGACGAAGAAGACGCCGACCATGAGCGGCAGCACGAGAATGAACTGCAGCACGAACGGCCAGCGCCAGCACGCCATGCCACACGAGTCCTCGTTGACCCAGTTGGAGACGGACCCAAAGAGGTACCCAAACATGACGCCGAGCGGTACGCTGCCCTGGAGGTACGACATCCAGCCCGCGACGCGCTCGCGCGGGCTAAAGGCGTCGACCCACAGCGGCGTGTAGACGCAGAGGAAGGCCTGTGTGAAGCCGATAAGCGCGCGCGCAAAGATGAGGAGGTTCGCCGAGTACGAGTGGCCACTCGGCGTCATGGCAAAGCCGAGGACGCAGAGGTTATTGAGCACGAGCGAGATGCCGAGCACCCACTTGGCGTCGTAGTGCTGAAGGCAGACGCCGCAGAGCGGCGACGCGAGGCAGAGCGCCACGTAGACGACGCTGCCGAGCGAGCCTTGCTGCTGAACGCTCATGTTGAACGCAACGGCGAACGAGTCGAGAAGGCACGGGATCGAGCCCGCCTCGAGGTAGACGGTCACCTGCGCGAGGATGAGGTACTTGAAGACGTACGAGGCCTCCTTGCGCAGCGCCGCCTTGCTGGACGGGCGGCGTGGTGGCGGCGCCAGCAGCGGCTGGCTCGCCGTCGGCGTCGTCTCGGGCGGCGTCATCGGATGACCAAATAAGTTGCTCAGCCGGTGGACTGTGGTGGGCCAAGATACTACATACGCGAATTACCAAGCGACGGGCCGTGCTTTGCATAAAAACGTCAGGTAAAAGGGTAGAAGCGCAACCCAAACGACGAGGGTTGGCGCTTGAATTCCCGTAAACAAGTCGTATCGCCGGAAAATGCGGACAGCCAATGGCATCCGAGGAGCCAGCGGGTCCACCTTGAAGGCGCCGCGATGGGCAAGCGCAGCGACGGGTGCGTCCATAGAACTATAGACCGCGCCGCCAAGTGGGTGACTGGCCAGAGGTGTGAGGTGCGGCCGCTGGTTCGAAGCCGTGTCCCAAGCTCTTCCCTGGTGATAGTAGAAGGAAGAGGTTCCGGCGCGATTCCGTCAGCTAGGCACCACTGTGCGTCCAGCGAGCTCTTGCTTAGGTGTCGACGATGGCTTGCTAACTTTTATAGTTGATGTTAGCAAGTTATGCTATCGACCAGATAGCTATTTCAGATCGGATTTATGCATTTGGATAACATCAACGATCGCACACCGCGATAAAGCATCGATCGGGCAGCACGCGTGATGTCATCGCAACCCGACACTGATTATCCGGACATTATCCGGACATGAGGCTGGCGCTGGCGTCGGCCGCGACGTCGGCGGCCACCTCGTCATAAAAATTCCTACGTCTGGATTCAGTCTCGTTGGATAGTGTACATTCTGGTGAGTCTATATCTGTAACGTGGTCGTCCATAGCGCGCGTACAACCGAGAACTCGCTTCTGAAGCCCGCAGTCTACAGCAACATTCGCACTGCAAGAGTTTGGGTTCTGCCACGTATGCAGGAGGTCAGCGGAAGGGGTCTGTAGCCTTCGAACCTCGGTGGTATCTCGTGCGTACGATGGTGCATTGGTGCGCACGTCGAGACGTCTTGAGTTCATGAGGCTCTTGTTCCTACGCGGTATGACAGAAATATATTTATTCTGAATTTTCAGGACATCCCAAGACTGTGTCGGCGACAAAACATTCTATCAATTTATCAAAACCGCCTGTCTGCGTCGTTCCGATGGGGCCCGTCCGCATAACCCGCATAACCCGGGGCATCCAGCAAGATCGGTGGGCGCAGTCGATAGCTAGTTCGAGTGCATGCATACTAACCCGGCTCAAGTGGACATGTCGTTTGCAATGAGCCTCACGTAGTACGGTGGTACGAACCGAGGGGTAAATACCAGAGGTGGGGCACAAAACACAGCGATCGTGCGTCGTCGGCGATGATCCCAGACCGCTGCATTCGATCTGATTGGGTGTTTCTCCCATGACGAAGCTCTCGACGAACGTAATCCGGAAGTGGATCGGTGACTTCGTTTTCAACGCCCACCGTCCTCTCTTGCTACACGGCGCGTCCAGGTCCAAGCCCCTCGATGATTTCCTGCTCTTCACTATCGTCCTTTAGCTTTGAACTCTTCCAGCCGACGCACCACCATCAACAGCGATCGTACCCATGCATCCGTCGTCGTCTTGAGGCTTGGGTGGACCATTGCACACAGACATGTAGGAGAGGCAACTCAGATCGTAGAGCGTACAGTATATTCCAGGCGTATCTCGGACGTTTCACTTTGCATTTGCCCTTTCGCCACGATGAAGACAGTCGTACTTTCGTCGCTCTTCCTCGCCGCCAACGCCGAGGTCTACTCGGTGCTCTTCACGACCCAAGCCGGCAACGTGACCATTGACGTCCACGAGGACTGGGCGCCGCTCGGCGCCGCCCGCTTCAAGGAGCTCATCGCCGACAAGTTTTTCGACAACTCGGCGTTCTTTCGGTATGTGCCCAACTTTGTCGCGCAGTGGGGCATCGCGGCCGACCCAAAGATCAACGACAAGTACGGCAACATCACGGACGACCCGCGCAACTTTGCTGTCTCGAACCTCGCGGGCACGATCGCGTATGCGATGGACGAAGCGCCCAACACGCGCACGACGCAGGTGTACGTCAACTTTGCCAACAACTCGCGCCTCGACGCAAAGGGCTTTACGCCGTTCGCGATCGTCACGAGCGGCCTCGACGTGCTCCAAAACAAGATCTACGCCGGCTACGGCGAGGAGCCCGACCAGGATAAGATCTATGCCGAGGGCGAGGCGTACCTCAAGCGCGAGTTTCCGTTGCTGACGCACATTACGAGCTCGAGCTTTGTCCACGACAAGTGCTAATTGTGGTCCTAATTGTAGTACGACTGTCTGTTTGTGTTGACGGCAGCGCGTGTTTTTCGAAATGTGCGAGAGACCAGCGGTCTGGCGGCAACGCACGGGGACGGGACGTGGACATGACCAGATTTTGAACGCCACCAGATTCTGAAATACAGTCGACTCCCTCTAAGTGCATACCACTGAAACTCGATAAAACTCTTCCCGTTATATATCACCCAAATATTTTTATAAAAATGGTATGGGTCTCGAGTCCTTGAGGCTGGGGACGTGTCGCCCATTGATTGGCAGCCGACGTAAGTGCATACCTCTCTGCGACGTAAGTGCATACCTCTTTGCTGGCGAGACGGATGAGCTTGCATTGGCGAAGCATGACGGCTCACGAGATCTGCTACTATGTCGAGTACGACGACGAGGAAGATGACGAAGATGACGAAGAGTAGGACCCACTGTGTGATCGATCCAACGTATGGAGATTGCATTTAAAAAAATACGACCTCTGCATAATTGATAAACCTCTCCGATTCATAAGTACCACGGTATGCACTTAGAGGGAGTCGACTGTAGAAGCCATGGGCCGTCCGACGTACACTCGCGCTG